ACAAATAGATGCGGCGGTAGGATACACCCGAAAATGGAGACTGTCGGCGAACGTAGGAAAATGCGCGGTAGTGGTCTGTAACGACCCCCCCCCCTCACCCCCCCCCCCCTACAAAGCGATATCGTTAGGATAGATGGGGTAGGGAAAACGTTTTTGAGACACCTTTGGCAAAGTTGTAGGGACGAACGATTGGCCATCAGTGATGATCGGTTCAGTGGGAACAAAGCTCTATCCTCTCGAGGACGCGCGTGGTCAATCGTCTAACCGCTAAGACACGCAAGGTCAACGGTCTGACGACTACGGCATGCACGGCTTATGGGTACACCCCCCCACCCCCCGCTCTTACGGACCTTCCCGCCCCCGTTCCGCCGATACCCCCAGGAAGACCGCCCGGAAGACGGTTACGTAACGCCTCCAGCATCTCTTCGAGCCTGTTATCCTTGCTGCTGCCGCCACCCCCGCCGAAGCCGCCGCCCTGTTCCGATAGGTTGATAATGCGAGGCATGCCCTCCAGGCCCTGTTTTTGGTCGTCAACATCGGTGGGTAGAATTCCACGGGAGCGAGAAGGGAGACGGGCAACAACAAGCGATGGGTATGTACGTGTTGGACGAAGAGGGAACACATCGGGATTACACCAGATGGATCAACAACATCGTCCGCACAGCAGCAGCAGCAGCAGCAGCAACGACTACGACGACAACGACCGCACGAGCACCACCACCACCAACAACAACAACGCTCTCACATCTTTCAAGCCGTCGATCCCCATAGCAACCCTCCGGCTGCTGCCCGACTTGCCCGTCGGTGGCAGACTCGCGTGGTGGTGAACCATGAGCCACCTGTCACACACACGCGGGGGCGAGCCAGCCAGAGCGACACAGCAGCGGCCAGCGGCCACACACATCATCCCGTGCGTCAATTTTTGGGCACCGGGGCCGTAGGATGAAGGTTTGGAAACATGAACGAAACTAAACGAGACAAGGCCATGCCCTTCATGGATTCGATGGATTTCGTCCGTGGATGAGCAGCATCGATTGCTTTCAGTAAAACAATCACAATAAAGGAGGGTTTAGAGGCACACCGGTGGCAAAGGTTCGACAGAGCTCCATTGCACGGAAAGTTCTGGAGCAAAGAAAAAAAATAAAGCTCTTCAAAAAGTTCCATCGTCAGGCTCCCCACTAGCAAACTTTTCTACACGTACCTTGTTTGGAATTCGTCATGGTGATTCCCACAAATTCGTCATGGTGATTCCCACAAATTCGTCATGGTGATTCCCATATCTAAATAGAAGTACCATATTTTCGGTCCTTTGCTGTCGCATCTGTCGTTGTGGCTGATTCAGCATGTCATAGTTGTATACACAGAGCATGCACCAGACGTCATACTCCGACTTGGCCTCTTCGCTGTCCGGACTCATTTTCTCCTCCCGGGTTGTAAGCAATTCACCGCGCTCTCTCACCGCCCTCCGCAGCAGCGCCCGCGACTCCCCTGGCCACGCCGTGCATTCACAACAAAAGCGCGCGCACGACCTCCCCCCGAACACACACTCGCATACCCTTAACAAATAGACCCCACTCACTTCCCCCCAGCCTTCCTGTAGATGTTGGTCACGTTGAGCACGCGCGGCTTAATCTTGCTCCTTCTCTCGGAGCCGCCCCCGCCCCCGCTCAAGAAAGCTCCCCCCTTCTTGCTCCGCTTCGCCAGGTTGGCCAGCCTCGTCTCCTCGTCGGACTGGGCGAACGCCGCGGCGACGGCCTTCTTGATGCTCGCCGCCCCGTGCTTGCCCACCGCCTTCTTGATCCTGGCCCTGTCCTCGGGCGTCGTGGGGTTGCTCACGATGGACTTCTCCGAGCCGGGCTCGTAAGGGTTCTCGGAGATGACGTGGGCGAGCCAGGCGGCCGGGTCCTTGTGCTTTGGGTCGTCGCCGAAGCTGCTGCTGTCGTCGTCGTCGTCGGCCTTAGAAGACGAACCGAACGAGCTCAGCGCGGACGGCGGCGCGGGAGAGAAAGATCGCAGCGTAGGGTCCGTTGCCGCCGCCGCCGCCGTTGCCGCCGCCGCCGCTGCCGCCGCCGCGTTCTGCCTGGAGGTGACCTCCTCGTTGCACTGCACGATCGCCGTGGTTCCCCTAACCCTTATCCTCACGTCCGTGGGCTAGAACCGTTCGGGGGGCAAGGGCAAGCAAGGACCGGCACATGGCGAACATAAAAAGGAGAAAATTGCGAGCAAAGGGGCCAGCGGAAGGGGTGCCGGGGTTGCAGGAGTCAGGGCCGGCGCGAGGGGCGGGGAGGCACCTAGGCGAACCACCTAGGCACAGGCTGCCGCGGTGGTAGCGGCAGCTAGCGATACTCTACCCCACAAGCGGACATACACCCGCAACGGAACACTTCGCGCAAGTACTGGAAGAACACCGTACTCGATTTCCACTTGGCTTCACTCAATCTCATTCGCTTCGCTCACTCGTTGGACAAGCGACCCTTACATGAAACGGAGCATTTGCGCGGATCGCGGAACGACGGAACGATGGGAAGGAGCAAGCACACACTCTTCCGATCGTACTTCGTACCTTGATGACGCTGCTAGAGAAGCGGCCGTCCCCGGAACGGAAGAGGGATCGCCACGACCGGGCGACGGCCTGCTGGCCCAGCACCGGCTCGTCCCCCGGGTGGATGCACATCACGTCGTTGCTGGGCATCCAGAGGGACGCCATGCGATCTGCGTCCTGTGTATATGTGTCGCGTCAACGCATGGTTTTCACGCACACAGGGAGGGGTCAGCAAGAGTACATACACGTGGTGGTCGTGTCAAAGCATGGTTTAAACACACAGCGGAGAGCACAGGTTTGGACAACACATGGTAAGGAGATGGGGTGCGCGAGAACAGCGAGAAGCGAGAGGCCGCATCCTGGGGGGTACAAGGCTGCGGTAAGGGCGGGGGAGCTACGAGACAGGTAGCAAGCACTACACACACGAGAGAGTCATGCATGTGCAAATGCATACCCCGAATCAAGATGGGGCACCATGGCAGCGGGAAAGGCTACATCAAGGTCGGCTGGGCACGCCTTGCTGCCACATAGAAAACCACCAAGTTGGCAAGGAGAAGACGTTTCGGGTCCAAGCATGGACCTCTCTTTCGGCCGTTGCGGGTACCCATGAATGCCACTTTGCAAGCAGGAAAATAAAGTACCGCGCAATTCCATCCCGTCAAACACCCTCCTTTTGAGCATTCGAGAGTCGCGAGGGGGGGTGCTTCCGTGGTTTGCCAACAAACGGTTCAAGAATCTGCAGGGAAACCATGAGACCCTTCTAGGCTTGGCTGGACCAACGTTCGAGACACACACTGGCTGCTTGTCATCACGATGGCCAAGAGCGGCCAGCCCGCACGTTAGACCTCAACAGCAGAGTGGCAAACAGAGTGCAAGCAAGACACACGTCCGCATGCCACAAGACCAGGAAAAAGCCCTATCGATTAGTTCCGCTGGATGTGGCCGAACTCCAGGCAGTTGTTGTTGTTGTTGCACTGGACCAAAAAAGGGACTACACTCGGGACGAATGCATCAGGTTCCGCCCGCCCCCCTGCTTCTTGCCAGCCGCCCGCCGGCGTTTGCCGCACATGGGCTGCTGCCTCCTGTGCCGACACCGCCGCCGCAGCCGCCCGCGTGGCCCCGCGACACGGCCCATCTACTGGCTTCGCACGCCCGGGCCGGATCTCGCCGGCTCCGTCGGCCACATATCGGCGGCGGAGGTAACCGCAGCCGACGCCAAAGTGCGGGACCAACATCATCGGTTGGTTGCATTCGGGGCACGCACACCCCACCGGCATGGCTGGCGCCCCCATCCCCTCCCAGGCCCGGGCCTTAGCACCGTTGATTAACTTTGACACCGAGCTCCTCAGTTCTGCGCCCCCGACCTTTACTTTGACACCGAGTTCTTCAGTCTCTTGTTATTAGCGTGATCAGTGGCCCTAAAGTCGACCTGCTGGCCCTCCTTCGAAGGGCCCATCAACTTTCCATGGAGCCAGTCAAACGCCGGCGGCGCTCAGGTGTCTGTCGCGGGCGCGTGGCTGGCTCCATGGAAATTTGATTAGTCCGTCGGAGGGGAGCTAGTAGGCCGATTGCAGGGTCACTCATGCTCATAAAAAGGGACTGAGGAGCTCTGTGTCAAACTTCATCAACGGTGCTAAGGGCCCAGGCAGGGGAGGGAGGGGCGTCAGCCGCCATGGTGTATGTGTGCCCCCCATGCAATTTGTGTGTAAACTCCCTCTAGCCCTGCCAGACAACATGTTCTACCGGTGCTGCCGTCCTCGAGAAAAATTAAAACACCGCTTTTCCGAGGGAGTCGAGCCCTACTTCGAAACGCGCGATTACCGAAACCTTTGTGTCTTTCTTCGCACACGCGAGAACGCAAAAGCTCTGAATGAGCGTGCGCCCCTCTCCAAAACACATTTGGCAGGTAAAGGTATGCTCATGAATCCACACTTGCATATTTTCAAGCGTTTTCCAGTCCACCGACGACCATGCCGTACATAGCCGTGCCTGCCATATACGGAGTATGCCATACCTTTGCCGTGAAAGCTGCGTAGAACGCCGAGTTGGTGGACAGGACGGCGGACGTCTCGTCCATGTGAATCCTGAACAAAACCAGAAGACACAGGGAAGGGCAAGCGGGAGACGCGGCGTTATTGTGTCAACTGAGAAGAAAAAACAACGGAAATGGTGGCCCTTGGGCCGCTGTGGGTGTACATCGTCCGGCGGCTACGATGCCATGTGTAACCGACATCATACAGGCGAGCGTGCCGGGGCCATCCTACATCCCAAATTTTGCGAGAGGGTCTCCCCTGGGAAACCACTGCCACAAGGCAGACCACGTGCCATGCTGTTCAGACGCGAGTATACACCCTGGGGCGGGTCACTTCCTACCATAGTTATTATCAAAGCCCGGGTGTTGTGTGTTCCGGCGGCAACAACACAGCCGGGGTGCTGCACACTCACACTTGAAAAAAAAAGAAGCAAAACGTATGCGTAGGGTAGGAAAACCAAGACCAGGTGTACGCAAGACACGGTCCTACCCTTGCCAGATCAAGCCGGTCAGCACTGCTGTGGGAATGCGAGCAGCACCCTTTGAAAGGTCACGATAGACGCCTGATACCACACACACGAACATCGTTCTTGCGGGATATGTCCTACTAAGACGGAGGCTCGTTTCATCGGCCAGCCCCTCATCGCGACCAGCCTTGTCAAAGGAAACACACACGGACCCTTCCTGTACGCAAGCATTGATGAAGAGGTTGGAGCGGTCAATGCTATCTTAGCAGGAGAGACGTATTCTACCGTATACACATCACACCTGTAGAGCTCGTCCCTGCACTTGGTGGCCCCCTTGTAGTCCTCGTTCTTGACGGCGTTCTCCAGCCTCTCCTCGAGCCGCTGGACCTCCTCCTCGAACTCCCAGTCCTCCTCGTCCTGCACGGCCCACACTCCCCCGACACCGATGCCGCCGCCGCCGCTGTCGCCCTCGCCGGAGTCTCCGTCGCCGGCGTTGATCCCGCTGCTGCTGCTGCTGCTGCTGCTACCAGACGCCGCCGACAGGGAGGTCGACACCCTTGCTGCTGTTGGTCTCGAACTTTGGCTGCTTGCTCGTTGTCCCCAGCTGCTGCGCCCGCCTGTTCTGCCCACCCGGCCGTGCGACGAGGAATCACGCATCACCGCGGTGGTGGTGGTGGTGGTGGTGGTGGTTGACCTCCCGCTGCCACTGCAAGACGGCGACCATGCAGTAGCAGTGCTGCCGCACGTGACGAGGGCCTGCGTTCTTGCAGCGACTGCCGCGAGGGCGACGCAACGGCAGAGGCCGGCCACGCGGCGCCCTCCTCTTCTCCTGGCCCTCATCGGCGTGTTCATCTGGCTAGGTCGTGAGTTCGCAAGAAACGCAGCACCGAGGACGTGGTGTCTGTTCGCCGGCGAGTTGACGTTGCTGATGACACGTGCTGGTCTTTCGCAGAATATCTCCGTGGTGGGCGCACAGGTCAGGCCCGCCTATTAGATGTGCCCACGACCAACAACAGGTTTCGAGACCGCCACGATGATTCCTTCCCTGTGTGTGCCGCAGGAAGGGAAGGTCAGGCAGAGGTCAGTGCTTGGTTGTGCTCTCCTGGCCTGGCTCCGGTGTGCGCCCTCCGGTGTGCGCCCTGGGCACGTCCTTGTAGTAGTAGCACGTTTCACGGCCCCTCCTTTCGCTCTTATCCTCCCGCCGCCTTTCGCCTGTAGCAGATGTGATAACACCTGTAGCAGCCCGGGTCACGAACGAGGCACGAACAATGTCCACGTATCGTTATATAGGTAGCAATTCACAACCCCAGGCGCCGGTGCTGTGCGGTGTAGAGTGACATGTCGTCGCACGTCGCACGTCATGCTCGGGGGGGTCGGCAGATGCGCGTTTTTTAGCCACCAGTCTTTTTTCGTGTAGACCGCGGAGCCCCTCACGGAAACGGAGCACCTCACACTCGCACTACCATTCGCTGCGCACCGCTGCTGCATTGCGCACCGCCACCCTACGAGCTACTGCATCGACGAGGTGTGTGTCACGAGTGTGGTGCTTGGTTCAACAATAGGATCCGTGTGTCTCGTCCACCTTGCGTATTCCTTGACAAATATGGCGGTGAATCTTTCAACAACTCGCTGGCATGCTGGACAACCCTGCTGAAGTGCACTCGGCGGCGACTGCGGTACTGCCAGCATGCTGGGCGATGTGTGAGACCTGAGAAACATCGGTGCATCGGTGGTATCATGGTTGACCTTCGGGGCGTTCCCTCTCGCTTCATCATTCCGCCAAGCGAAGAAGAGGGCGACAGTTGCTGCAGCGACTACTACTGCTGTTCGTCGCGTTCAGCCGGTTGTGCGCAAAGCTAGAGCAGTGAGCGAGGCCGCCCCCCTCCAGATCGTGTGTGGGTCGGGCGCCGTGGCACTTCACCTCGTACCTCGTCTGATTGTCAATTCCATGGCGCGCGCTTCTCTCTGTCCGGGTAACGTCCAGTTCATTGGCCACCCATGGGTCGCTGAAAGACCTACAGCAGTACATGTATGGGTCACCGCTACGAAGCTTTCAATTTTGCCGACTGTGCGGTGACGAAAAGGACTGCTTGCTTGCAGCATAGCACGGCGTACCTCCTACACTTGTCTCTAATGTAGCACCGGTTCCGTGGAGGTGCTACATAGTTAAACGTTCTTCAAAGCATGCGGGGCCCGCCGTTGCTATGCAGCAGTTCCCATCGCCTGGGTTCGTGGGCCAAGCCATTCGGACGGCATGGTCGCGCCGCCGCATGGTTGCAGTACCCACTTACAAACCACACCAGCAGCAGTGTTGCAATAGACCAAGTCGACTTATCCGTTCTCCGGGACACGTAGTTTGCTAGAAAAAGTGAGCACGGTGCTCGTGCGCCGTGCCCAACCTCTTGGTTGACTCTTGCTCTTCGCCCCGCGACCCGACCAAACGACAACCTCATCTCGGCACCACCATAAAAATTTCCAAAAATCCAAGCAGGCCGCCGGCAACGCTACTCAGCAGCAGCAGCAGCAGCAGCAGCAGCAGCAGCAGCAGCAGCAGCAGCAGCAGCCGGTCGGTCGGTCAAACCAAGGGGCCATAAAAACGATGGACGTCGGCGGCGATCCCCACGCCCAAGAGGAAGTCGAAGACGACCCCATCCCGAACGAGCTCGACAACGCGCTGGTGCACCTCCTGCCGGCCATCAAGGCCTGCGGCAGCGACCCGAGCCTGCCGACCTACCTCGACTTGGCCACGTTCGAGGAGCTCGCGGGGCCCGTCCTGCGAGAGGGCGCCGTCAGCGAAGGCGGCACCGGAAAAGATGGCGGTGGCAAGCGGTGCCTTGACGAGAGGGTTTCGGGGGAGATCCAGGTGGCGTTCCGGCACTGCATGCACGAGGCGGGGTTGGCGCTGGCGGGTCTGGATGTCGGCGGCGCGGGTGGCGGGAAAGGAGGAAGAAGGGCGGCGGCGGAACCGGGGGGTGCAGCGGCGTTGTCGGGATCGGAGCCGATGGCGGAGCCTATGGGAATCCTGTCCCTCGCCCTGGCGTTCGTGGCTAACGAGGCCGGCCTCGACAAGAGCGACGGCGGCGGCGACAGCTGGAGCATCAATCAAGTTCTCACCGCGCTGCCGCTGCTGCTGCTCGAAGACTTCATGGAGTCGCAGGCAAGAAGACGCAGTAGTGGGTTGAGTGGGGAACGGCTCCTGTTTTTGTTTCCCGTCAGTGTTTTTAAGAATACTTTTGGCCATCAAGTCTGGGAGTCATATCGTGGAGCAGGCAAGAGTGGGTGTCGAGTGCTTTTTACGTTTACCAAGATGCATCTACTCTTATCCCGTTTCGCATTCGCTTCCCCTCGGGTTTGTGATCTTCGAATCATGTTGGGCGGCGGCAAAGCCTCTTTCAGGGTACGTAAACCTTGGTTCGGGTCGGAACTCGAACTGGATTGGATGAGCCCAGCAGAGCAGGAAATACTTGTACGTCATATTCCCAGAAGCCGACGGATGCTGCGTGGGCGTGTGGGCGCACGAGGGGGGGAATATCCCGAACGGGCGCGGGGAGCTGATGATGCGTCGTTGTCTAGTTTAGTTCCTCTTGGTTCGTTTTTTGTTGTTCGCACAAGCAACGCCTGCCTTCATGTTGGCACTTGTCGACTCACGCGTCCCCGCGCTCCGCTGCTTTGCTCTTCTTCAGGGAAGAACAGCGTGCAAGGAGTTCTGGTCGGCGTGGGTCGAGCCGAACTCGGAGAGGCTGTCGAGGCTTGTCCCGCTGAATAACGGGAGGTATCCCCTCATTCGGCTCTGCAATAAGCTGGCGCAGAGGATGAGCAAGACGCACGACTCGTCCCTGTGTGGGCAGGTGGGGGTGTTCCTGTTGGTTTTCGTGCTTTTTTCCGTTGTTTTTTCCGAGTGTTTTTGTGGGCCCGTGACCGCTGGGGGATATGCTCGTCCCTCCATTGCGAAATACTGGTTGTTCTTGTGGAGTGTTTGCGTAGAGGTTGTGTTTTTGTTTTGTGCTGCTGTATCATTGCTCTCGGCCTCAGACCAATTACTGCACCAGTGGTATTGGGATTGGATTTGGATGAGGCCTCTAATGCTAAGGACCGAGGTTCCACAGATGATTTGCGGCATCGAGTATGCGGTCGGCTGGAGAACTGATTTGTCAACAAGCCTCAACTCAACGTCGACACTACGTAGGGTGGGTGGAGCGGTCTCGACAAGTAATTGTTTTTCGCATTTTTCACGGTAGGGAAAATAACACACCATGAATCAGCTATATGCAACTTTCAACCTGCTATCGGGGGGCAGACGCCTGTATCTGTTTTCGTGCCGACTTCGGATCCGTTTATGGTGGGGCCGATTTTGCGGGGATTGTTGGCCTGTGGCCGTGAGGTGTGTGTACGTGCGTCTATATCTTCACGAGCAGTCATACGCAGAACGTCGTGGGTGTTGTCTTTCACAAGAAACCGGACCTTCACTCGGTACCCTCACAAATTTCCACTATTTTCCCTCTCTCTCGTTCTTTGCACCGGTTACCAAGCTTGTCAGTTCTCATGTTTTTTGTGGCAGTGACTCCTGCTAACTCCCGCCCCCCGCTTCCCCGCTCACCGACGGGTAATATTGGCGGTCCCCCCTGAGAGGTGGTATTAGACAGTATAGGGGAAACATCTTTGAGCCACCTTTGGCAAAGTAGGAAGGGACGTTTGGCCAACGGTGATCGGTCCTATGGGAACAATGCTCCATCTTCCCTTGAGACGCGTGGTCAGTGGTCTAACAACTAAGGCATGCAAAACATGAGTACGCCCCCCCCCGCCCCCCCCCCTCTCTCCGCGTTCTGACGTCGTGGCAATCGCGCGGCGCAGATGCACATGTTCCTAGGCAAGGCGCTGGATTTCTTCGAGCGGAGCGCCGTCAACGTCTCGGGCAGCATCAACCTCGACAACGTGACCAGGTTCGAGGTGCGGATGTTGTGCACTTACAGAAGGACACGCGTTCCCCGAAGCGCATCGTTGCACGCTACTGCAATACCTTTACTTCAAGGGAATCTATTGTAGACGCAGTGAAGCTGCGTTGGGTCTTCAGAGTCGGGCTGCTGCTGGGCCGGGGGCAAGCAAGCCCTATATCTCCTATCTTATTTAGTGTCTCCGCCCTCCCTAGATTGTTGGGCGGCGTGTTTTCTCCTGCCGTCTGCGGATTTTTGGCAAGCAGACCTCGAGTGATGTCCTTTGGAAGTGTGAAAACATTGCCGTCGGTACGATCTGCTGAGGCTTCTGCGCGGTTCACCTGGGGGCTGTCTTGTCTATATCCCGAACGACTTGTGTCGTGCACGACGCACAGTTTGGTTGTGGCAAAGATAACGTTTCCTCTCTGTTTTCTGTTTCGTATGTCTCGTCCCCTGTCTCCGTCTTTTTTTGTTCAACCAAGCCGCCGCGCGCATGTACCGTTCCTACATGTCAATGCTGCTCCGTCCCCCCCCTCCTCCTTATACTTCTATCTCTTTTACAACGTATGTTCAAAGCCCCCCCCCCCCCCCCCTCCTGGCCCGGTGAGAACCCGGCGTGCTCCGTCCCGGCTTTGTAGGGATGCGAGGTAAATGGTCTAACGACTACGGCATGCACGACTATGAGTAACACCCCCCCCCCCCACAACGGAGGAAGAGGTGTACCAGCCGTAGGAGAGAGGAAGAGGAGGATAGACACACATGTCCATGTGGCAAATCGGAGGAGAGTAGACCCCACATAGTTGGGGAGTGTGAGTTGTACAGGAAGGAAAGAGAGGATCTCGAGGAGAAAATGAGACAGAGAGGGTGTGACATGGACAAGTTTGGTAAATTAGACAACAGCGAAAAAACGATCGCGATAATTGGGGATAGAATGGTGGGCACAAGAGGCCCTAGAGGACGGGGATAAGATGTGCAAGACATTTTTTTATGTAGTTTGTGGCAGAAACGTAAAGAGCTCCCAAATGTTGGTGGTGTCTCTAGTAGGGGTAGGAACGGTGCTCCGTCTCGAAAGGGACGCGTGGTCAATGGTCAAATGACTAAGGCAAGCAACAAATGAGTACGCCCCCCTCTCTTTCTCTCCCCCCTACCCCCCTCCTTTCTGCCTCGTACACAAGGACGAGGAGCAGTTCCGGCGTGCGATGATGGGGTTCGACGGAGAAGATGAGGCGTCATCTGGGACCGGGGCGGCGGTGGCCGCGGCGCCCGCAGCCAAAGGCGGCGGTGACGCGATGGAGGTCGAGGTCGATGCCCCAGCAGGTGTGTGTCTACGGCATTTTGTCAAAAGGAGGGGGGCTTCCGGCGAAACGATATCCCTTACATAAGGCGTTTCACAAGAAGCGTGTGAGCCTCACCCACCGGCGGGCCGGCCGGCCCGTTGCGTCGCTTTCTGGCGTGTGGGAATCCTGGTGTGTTGTGGTTGTTGTGTGCGACCGCTTTGTGTGCCCCACCTTCTCTCGCCCCTGCTGCTGTTGCTGTTGCTGCTGTTGTTGTCGCAGGTGCTGCTGCTGCCGCCGCCGCGGGAGGCGGCGCAACCAAGCTGAAAGAAGGTGCCAACCCACAAGAGTTTGCGGTGCACTACCCGCTGTACCGGTCCTTCTGGAGGCTGCAGGAGTACCCGCTGCAGCAGGACAAGGTGGTGAAGGGGGAGGAGACCAAGGCGACGTGGGAGGCCCTCCTTGCGGACGTGGATAAGGTACGGTACGGTACGGTACGGTACGGTACGGTACGGTAGGCGTGGTGTGATTGATGGCATGGATTGGTGGTACTCGGGGCATGTGGTGTGTGAGAGGTCGGATGGTGTAGAGGTGAGGATTTAATGTTGGGGGCTTAGTGCGACAAGCACGATGATGCGTCGAGGCTGCAGGTGCAAACGCTGTCCGCATGCAACTTGGTGTTTTATCTACCTTTGGCAAGAGCAGCGCAAAGAGAGAGAGAGAAGAACACGCCAACCCTACCATCACCAACGTGCGTTTGAACACCGACTCTCCTTTGTCCCCAAACCGTCCGGCGTGTCCTCTTCCCTTCCGTTGACGATTTGAAAACCTGGGCGTCCCGCGAACAATACAACGCAACATCAACAACAACGGCACAAAAAAGATTCTGGGTGCCTTCGAGGCGAACGCGTTCTCGGAGCACGACCTGCGCCTCGCCCGCGAGAAGTGGGCCGCTGACGGCGGCGGCGGCGGCAGTGGTTTGTCGTCTCCGTTGTCATCCGCCGCGACGGCGGCAGCGGCAAAGGGGTCAGCAGCAGCGGCGGCGGCGGCGGCTACTACGCCCGGTAAAAGAAAACGGGGAGGGGGCAGGGCGGCGGGGGCGGCGCCGGCGCCGGCGCCGGCAGCGAGGGAGGTGGCGGAGGGCGAGAGCGAGGAGGGGGGCCCCGTGTACTTCGGGCTAAAGTACCTGACGAGCTCGCGCTTGTTGAGGCTGCAGCTACGGGACCCCACGCTGAGGCTGCAGGTGTGCTTCCGCGCGCGCACGCGTGTGTTTATTTCTGGCATCGACCGCGCTGACCGTCTGACAACCAACGGAAAGACGTCGGTGTCAGTGCGATTGAAGACAGAAAATGGTTGTAAATGCCATGATCTGGGACCAACCCCGTGAGGGGGCAATGAGGGAGGCCGTGTGTGCGCGCGTGTTTTTCTTATCTTTTAGTAATGACGACGGATGCATTCACGGACGATGTCCTTGTCGTGTCACCTAACGATACACACC